TGCCAGGGGTGGGCGGGATTTGTTAGGCGGGGTGGGGCACCCTCCTTGGCTAATGGTAGGGGGAACATTGGTCTAACTCATACCCACTGGAATATCTTGCATCAAAAACATTAAGGTTTACTTTCATTCCTTGCTCAATTCCAGTCCAGAAGAACGCTCATCTGTAAAACTACAAAACATTCACGACTTAAATCTTTCAGCAGCAGTGGACACTGGAGTACCGCTGGTTAATCCCTATTTGTGCATAATATTAATTCAACCTTTATTTATACAGGTTAAGTCTCAGTGAGCCTCAAGGACTCATTTACAAGAGACCTGATTTTGACAAAGAGTGATGACAACAGTAGACAATCATAAAAGAAAGCATATAAATTGGGAAAAATAAATGAAAACCATCAATTTGGTTGTCAATTAGCTGTGGCAGCCATCTTAAGTTAAAATGGCTCCAAGAGTTATTGACGTATAGATGTATATCCAGTGATTATTTCCTGAAAGTTTCACTCAAATCTGTCCAGAGGTTCTTGAGAAACTTTGCTAAAAGGCAAACAAATATTTTTTTTAAATCTGACAGCCCTTGGAGTAGAGGTTGTGGATCAGTCTCAGCTACAACCACACCAATCTGTAGGACAGTATCTGCAACACTGACTGACTTATAACTATTTTCTGACAGAGGTGGAAAGAGTGCAGAAAATTTGTACTCCAAGTACAAGTACTGTTACACTGTTTAAATTGTACTCAATAACAAGTAAAAGTATTGGTGTTATAAAATATTTAAGTAAAAATACAAAGTACTCTTTTCAATAACTACTCAAGAGTTTTAATTACTTTTAACCAATTGATGCTTTCTAAAAAAGTTAAGTCAGGTCCTCTGGACGTAAAAACAAACAAACAAACAAACAAAAAAAAATTGTAGAAACATTTCGTCTTTCATGTGGCTGTACTCAGTGACTTCTGATTTAAAAGTAGCAAAGTAGATTACATGGTCTAATTTGTACTTGAGTATGAGTAAAATTACACACTTGAAAGAAATACTCATAAAAGTACAAGTACCCAAAAAAATCTACTTAATTACAGTAATGTGAGTATTTATAAATCATTACTTCCACCCCGTTTTCTGATTGTTAAGGTCCACTGGCTGTGGCGGCCATCTTGAATCAGATTGAAGCTCATGTCAGATTTAACATTGAAATACATTTGACAGCTCTGGTCCGTGTTTGTGGTCGTTTCTGTGGTTGTTAAACCGGAGCGACTGGTTTCATGAAGTGCCAGTGATGTAACGAAGGACGGGTTTCCGTGGGGCGATCAAGGTCGATAACGAGGAACTCACTGCGACTCCATACAAAGACGGAAACCGTCATGGTGGGGAGGGAAAGAAAATCCCCAGAAAAACTGCTGATTTGCTTTAAATTATTATTTACCATCTGGATTTTTGTTAGCTCAGCTGATTGTTGTTCAGCACATTTTAGTGTTTTTTCTCTAGAAAATAAAAACGGCCTCCATGTAACCCCACAGACACTCCTGTGGAGATGACGTTGGGGTTGTGTTTCAGTGAAATGGTGTGAAGGAGCCCATCGGTGTGTTTTGAACCACACTTTTACTTCTACACCCTCATTTGCACAATATAAAATTATTGCAAGTGCTGCATTGAACCGACTGGTCATTTAATTAAGGTTAAGCCACGCTTTCGATCGCGGCCGCACACTCTCCATGTATGCGAACACTTCCGGTGGATTCTTCTTCGTCGGTGTTCGGCGGGCGGCTTCTACTTCCGTTTGGCGGACTAGGCATCGAAAGTAGGAATTGAAACTGAATATTTCGAACAATTCCAGGAAAAACGCACAGTTAGTCCCAGTTCCAGTCGATTCTCGATTGTCGATGCCCAACCCTAACCATCAGTCACATGCCGAAGTGTCCGTGGGCAAGACACTTGAACCCCTCATTGCCTCCGATGTGTGTCCCATTTGTATGAATGTGATCAATCGCTGATTAATCGTTGTACAGAATAGTAGAGTGCTGTATGAATGGGCAAATGAGGCACAGATTGTGCTGTAAAGAGCTTTGAGTATCTTGATAAGATAGAAAAGCTCTACAAGTGCAGTCCATTTACCATTATTCATCTCCGTCGCCCAACTGGGATAATATTATAGACTGATGAGCCAACAGAGATGGACCAGCGGCACTCGACCTGTTTTTTAACTTGTATGAATCACTGGGTGCCACGGTGGCTCAGTTGGTAGAGCTGCTGCCTCTCAGCGAGAAGGTTGCCGGTTCAAATCCCAGTCTGGGGGCCTTTCTGGGTGGAGTTTGCATGTGCGTGTGCATGTTTGGGTTTTCTCCGGGTACTCCGGTTTCCTCCCACAGAACAAAAACATGCATGTTAGGCTGATTGGTAACTGAATTGTCCCTAGGTGAGAGAGAGTGAATGTTTGTTTGTCCCTGTGTGTCCCTGTGATGGACTGGAGACCTGTCCAGGTTGTCCCCCACCTATCTCACAGTAGCTATGCTTACATGCGCAAAAGTCTTTGACCCGGATTGAAAAGTTTTCAGATTAAATAATTCAAATGTATCGTTTACATGGGCGCAATCTGTTCACGACGAGCTTTCACGCGCAGCGGGCTTTTATTCTGATCAGATATAAAAAGTTATTTTATCTGCATGTTTAGTTAAGAAGCTTTATTTTTTAACTCGCAGCTGAAATTTCAAAATTGTTTTAGCTTTGAACTTGATTTAAATAACAAACATGAAAAAACTTCTGCTCACGTGACACAGCATCTCATTTCAGCTGCTTCTCCTCGTTCTCTTCACCACCAAACTTTCAAGCTACGAAATCTTTTTTTTTAAATTAAACATTTAGATCTGATAATAAACCTTCTAACGGATGGATTGTTATATTATACTCTCTGTTTGCAGGCTTTGATGAGAGGCGCTCCGTGATGAGCAGCTAACGCTGTTGGCCGCACTACAAGACCAGACGTGGCCGCTGCTCCACCCACAGACCACGCATGGCGGTTTTAGGGGTAAGAGCCGCTCTGCTTTCTTGAAGTCGTTGTTGGAAAATGATTGGAGCTGGAGGGAAGTGTTGCCGTCGGCAGGTTTGTTCCCTGCTTTGTGGAAATCAACTGCAAAACACACGAGTCTAAAACTGTCACGGTGTCGACACAACCCCCGTAAAACTTTATTAAACAAAACCAAAAGTCTGGTGAGGCAACGCCATCGACTGCACATGAACGAGAGCTGAGGGACTTTATGGACGGGGCTGACGAGAGAAGTGGAAACACCTGAATTATGGACAACTGGGGACAGGTGAAAGTGGGCGGGGCCAGAGCTGAAGGAGCAGGAACTGACTGAGGAGGAAAAAAAACAAGTTCTGTAAAACAAATGAGATTAAAATAAGTCTCAAAATAAACCCTCTAACTTAAACAAGAGCTGCCGAGCGCTTGACTTTTTGATAATTTGTCTCGTTAAAGGAGTTGTTTATGTTTTTGTCTCGTCTAGACGCCTGCGCCGCTCTGCAGTCGGAGGATTTCAGGGTTGAGTCTGTAAATAATAGATGTCGGGCCTGGGCCTCCAGTGGCGTCCTGCCTGAATCTAAGACGCCACGGCTACAGAAACTTCAATAATGCACAGAAACGTGGGATAATACGACGCTGCATCACAGACCAGTATCTCATTTAGTGAGAATAAATGTAATTACTGAAGCAAGAAACCCAGTTAACACAATTCGACAAGTTTCCTTACTGCAGCCAAAGCTGCACCGCAAACAGATCTAGCAAAAGCATCAATGTCAACAAAATAAAACGAGAAATATATATATATATATAAAATATTTTTAAGTCTCAGGTGAAACAATGTAACAAAAACAAATATGTGAATACTGCGCCCCGTGGTGATGGAGGAGCAGGCACGTGTTCCTGTGTGAGGGAACTGTTTAATTTAAATTTAATTTAAATTCTATTTTAGCTATTTAAAAAAAAAAAAAAGTCCAACCAAGGACTGAGTTTGCAAATTAGCCTGTGGCTAGAAAACCTTTATACAAAACAACGATTGCTTTGTTCTTATCATGTAACATTGTTTATTGTGCGGTCCTTGATCAAATAAACTCGAATGAATTGAAATGAATGGATCTTAAAAAAAAAAAAAAAAAAAAAAAAGTTCAGTCAGTTCCTCTAGACAGATTCTTCTCGTTGAAACATTTGATCTTTTATCCAGACGACTTTGTCAGCAGTGTTGCCAGATCTCGCGATAGAAACAAGCAACCAGCTCTGTGAAAACGAGCCCAACTGGCAACCCTCCACATTGTGTAAAACAGAGGCCGTTTTTAAACAATAAACATGCATTTATTATGGCATCACACATAAACAACAGCAAAATTATGCTAAACACTTTGAATAACATGCTTTTAAGCTCTGATAAAAATACATTTTGCATAAACCCTGACATCTGTGTGTGAGTGGAGCCCCCTAGTGGTCGGCCACAGTATGAGTGTTTGGGGTGTGCGCCCACAGACTTCTTCGTACATGTCTTATGTGTGCGCCTGTCGCCTCGCCAACTTGGGCGGGAGAGATAAACAGGAAACGGGGGCGTGGAAGGGACAAACTACCTACTACCACTCGTCTTTTGCTTTATCGTGCGGAGCTGGGAGATAATCAACTAATTTCACTCGGAAAGAAAGTCAAAGGCCAAACTTCACGTTCAAAACAAACCCCCCAAAAAAACGCGACTCGCAAGCGACTTTAGAAAAAAACAAGCCCAAGTCCGCTTATAATAAGCGGACTTGGCAACTGTGTTTGTCAAGTCTGAGAAGCTGCGCTAACCTCAGTCTTATAATCAGCACCTCCTCAGAGTGGATCAACCAGTTTGTTGTTGGCGTCCAGAACCAGCTGTTCACATGATCAAGGAGGACCACCAGCCAAACATGGGATCATTAGTGCCCTGATGGCCGCTTGTTATTCACAGAGGGCTGAGTGATACTCACAATAACAGCATTGTAAGAGGGGGACAGTTGGACCGGAGGCTCCGCCCCTGTTTAATGATGGACGGTTTTTCTTCACAAAGATGGCCTCCTTTGCTTAACTGTCAAGGACGTGAACATCTTCATTCCTGAAAGTTGAAGATGAGCAGTTCATGTCGTGTTCATGTCGCTCACGTCTTTAAGCTTCCTGTAGCCTTTCATAAATCACAGCCGAAGCTGCCGTGTCCTGTCCAGACGTGAGCTTCAAGCAGAACCAAAAGAACCACGGAGGAGAACTCTGCTGGGCCGGAGCAGAGCGATGCGTTCAATGTGTGTCGGACGTCTTCCTCGTGTCTCTTACTATGTTGAATTAACTCACTTTAGTTTAAGTTTAATTTCATACCGTTTTCGTTTTAAAATGGTATTTACAAACATTTCTGGCGTGGCGGTGGGTTTGTGCGAGGTGACTCGGTGAGTTGATCCTGAGCTGCTGGTGGAGTGAAACCACGGTCAGTCACGCAGTTGCTCAACTCAAACGCAGCTTCTGCTTTCAGCGTCGTCACGTCTTCCCGAGCATGAATCACCGGCAGAGCTCCGTGTCGCAGCCTGTTCGCTGCCGCTGCAGCGTGTTGGAGTGAAGACTCCGCGCTGCCTTAAAAAGTAGTAATGAGTCGTAGCTGCCAGCTTGAAGTGACTCACCTGCCTCTTCGCTGACGACGCCTCAGGTTGGAGGCAGCAGGGATGATGTTGCCTGATCAAACTGCAGCGAGCGCTGAAGAACTTTAATGTCTTCCTCAAAGAAAGCAGATGGAGTCTGAGCACATGTGCCGTCAGGGAAGCGGGAGCCAGGCTGATGCTCTGCGTTCATAATAAAGTTAAACTGTGAATTTGTCAGGATCTGTTGTTGGCTTTGTTTACAAACCTTTGGGATTAGGTTTTGTGTTTTGGTTTTCCTGTCGCACAGCAAAAAGGAGGAATTGGAAATTCCCACCATCCATCCGTGTGTGCATGCTCGTTGTGAGTAATGATAATTAGAGAAAGTGCATTTCCTGTGAAAATGCAGTACTGAAGAACCTGTTGAAAAGCAGCTAAAATTAGCTAAAAACATGTTAGAATATAGCTGAAATGGAAGAAAAAGCCTAAGGTAGCAGAAGAAAGCAGAAAGAACACATATTTGATGAATTAGGATTAAATAAGCAGAAACAAGCCCCAAAAGTAGGAAATTAGCTGAAAAGCTGAAATGAGCTAAAAATAGCTGAAAAGTAGCTGAAAAAGCAGAAAGAAGCTTAAGCTACTAGAAGGAAGTGAAAGGAGCTCAAATGAGCTAAAAAATGTGGAGTTAGCTGAAAAATATAAATTTAGCACAAAACAGCTAAAGAGTTGCTGAAATAGCAGAAAAAGCTGAAACTAGCCGAAATAAGCTGAAAGGAGCGTAACAAGCAGAAATTAGTAGAAAAAAGTTACCATAATTAGGCAGAAAGTCTAAGAAATTGCCACAAAACTTGAATTTATCTGAAAACGGCTGTAATTAGCCAAGAAATGCTAAAAAGTTAGCTGAAAAGGTAGAACAAGCTCAAATTAGCAGATGGAAATTAGAAGAACACAAAAAAAATTGTAGTTGGCAGAAAGAATTAGAAACTAGCACAAAAAGTGGAAATTATCTGGAAAAAGCTAAAATTAGCACACACACAAAAAAAAAACCCCAGCTGAAAAGTAGCTAAAAAGGCTGAAAGAAGCTTAAATTGCCAGAAGGACGTAGAGAGCACATTTTTGCTGAATTAGGCTGAACAAAGTTTAAATGAGTGCAAAACATGTAGAATTGGCTGGAAAAGCTTACTGGGAAAATTAGCATAAAAACAGCTAAATAGTAGCTGAAATAGCAGAAAATGCTGAAACTTGCAGAACAAAGCTGAAAGGAGCAGAGAAGTTACAAGAAGCACAAAAATGTATGGTAGTTAGCAGAATGAATCTGAAAGGAGCACAAAACAACTGGAAAAGCAGCTAAAATTAGCTGAAAATAGCTGAAAAAATGTTTACATTTGCACAAGGAAGCTGAAAGAAGCTGAAACAGAACAAAATGTGATGTGAAAGGCGCAGTAAAAGGTTGTAAACAGATCTAAAGATTCGAAGGACGTAAAATGAGCTCATTTCATTTTCTATGAGAGAAAAAAAAAGTCTAAATATTTCAAAAAGCTAAAGTTGAAGAAATAAAAAAAGTCATAGCAGGATTGTCCTGAAAGAGCTGAACGTTGTGATTTATGGTTTGTTAAAATAGATTGAAAACTGCAGGACGAGAGACGTGCCGAACAACGTACGGAAGAAAAGTTGGTCACAGTAGAGTGAATGCTTCATAAACATTCACACAGTAATAAAGTTTATAAGTTTCTGCTGCTTTGATGTTCAAATAAAATCGTGTTTTAATCATAAGTAACCGTCTCTCTCCTCTTCCTCAGAACCCCGACATGCTGACGAGGAAGATCAAGCTGTGTCACATCAACGCACACATCACGTGCCGCCTGTGTGACGGCTACCTGATCGACGCCACCACCGTCACGGAGTGTTTGCACACCTGTAGGTCCCTCCTCACTCACTTGGCTCACCTGAGCACTCTCGGCTTCATCCGTCGCCGCCTCCTCCATGTTCTCCCTTCTCCTCGTGGTTCCTTGTTTTCTGAAGTTCCTTCCTGTTTTCTGCGGTTATTTTCCGAGCGGCGACGTCTGAGGAAACTCTCCCGGTGTTGCTGTTTTAAAAACAGAACGCCGCAGCAGTTCATAGAAACATCATTATTAAAAAGCTAATCTCAGTCGGCGTCTTGAACTCGAGGTAATTGCTCCAAAACTCAGGATCACGGAGCGTGTAATCTGCAGATTATATCTCATAAAGAAGAGGAGATGATCTCTCCTTCACACAGAGTTACATCATTAGCTGGGTTCAGTAAAGTAGGATAACGCCATCTGTTTCCTCCCTGCAGTCAGTCATTAGATTCTGTGACTGGGCCTTTGGTTTTCACACCAACGGAGACTCCTTCTGGCTAAAACCTGCCTTTAAATTACCGTAATTCTCAGACTACAGAACGCACCTGTTTAATCCGCACATACTAAATATAAGATAAAGCTTAATTTTATAGATAAATAAGATGCTCCGGTTATTAAGCCGCAGGCATCCACTGTTCTTTGTCAGGATCTGTGCCCAGCTCCGGTACAAGTTGCAGCTTTCTTGTTGTAGTACCAGAATCAGCCACCAGATGGCGTTTCACCCACTATAGCTTGCTTTCAACACACGTTCAGAACGACTGCATGATCGTCAGAAGTCTTCATGATGCTTCTGTCTACAAAATGAACGCAAGAACTATCTAAGCAACAATCACTGGACAGAACAGTGCCAAACGCCTACATAACCGAAATTATTTAAAAATTATATACTGGTAAATTTTACCCAGAAGTCTTATCGAGGTCATGTGACCGGAAGTCAAATAGTAACGGTAAAATATGATAAATATTTATTAAATTAGTATAATTGATTTGTATTGTTAAACACTTTTGGTAACAGCTGCTGTTTTTAAATGTACTTTCTAAATAAATTTAAACGGAAGAGTCTCCAGACATGGCTGATTCCCCCCCAGGGATGTTGGCAGGTGCTCCCTCAGCAGCAACATCAGTAGATTCATCAGCAAATGTTTCTGTCTCGTTGATCTCAACAGCATCAGCTGCAGAGGTTTCTTTGTCGGTAGCTGTAGTGGTCTCACCTGCAGCAGCAGGTGGGCTCAGCCCCACAGACGGCTATGGGAGGGGTCCTCCCTCCACTGCTCTTCGTCATTTTGTTTGTCTGGTCTCTTGGTTTGGGTGGTGGGCTGTTGACCACTTTTTGTCTTCTTAGAATAAGACATGAGACAGTTGAAGATGTGGACTTTCTGACGCACAGGGAGCACTCACTTTCTCTCTGACGGGCCTTGGCTTTGTGTCCAAGGTTTCCACAACGCCAACATTTGATGGTGGGACATTCCATCACCTGGTGGTCTGTTGCTTGACGGATAAAGTGCTGGCGACTGGTCCAGGGTAGATAATCCACCCATTGTATGGACCCAGAGAGATGGTTTTGGAATGTGAACAAAGTGACCAACTTTGTATTTTCTCACTTCGTACCAAGATCCCAACTGGGTTTCTTGCAGGTTGTAAGATGTCAAAATATATTTTCAAGTAGAATTCAACATCTTAGTATGGCATTCTACCAGCATCTACCTAAATTTAACCACGACTGTTGTCACATTAAACTGGACAGAACACTCAATGGTTCAGTCTTTCCATTAGGAGTTAGACTCAGTAAACCGTCAAACGGGGACCTCTTGCCAGAAACACAGTTTAAGATCTTTTTTATTTTATTTGGCAGATCAATAAATTAAGAAACATCACTGGGTGGTATCAAGGTGGGTTCAAACAACCGTTCTTGTGCCACCTTCTATTTTTCATATTCATTCAACCTTTATTTAGACAGATGAGTCACATTGAGCCTAGAAGACTCATTTACAAGTGAGATCTGTGTAGACAAAAAGTAGTGAAACTGGACACATGTAGGAATTGGAGGCGAAAAAATTCCTATCAGACCTTTTCTTCTTGCCCGAGAAGAAAAACTATTAAAAAACACCTCGCAAAAACAAGCACATCGTGACGTAGACATTCTGCAGAGAGGTGATAGAAGTTATACATTCGTATAATTCAGGCTTGCCCACAAATGGCAGAATATTGTGGGGTTCTCGATAAGACCATGGGAGAAGTATGCATTTATTTATGCCTGTTTAGTTTTTTCTGTGACCAGACATTTTGATGCAAAGTTTCTCTTGATCAGATTAAAAAGGTCTTTGCTTGTCCGGGTCATTACCATAGGTCTCTGTATAATAGTTTGTTTTATTTAATAATGGACTCACCAGGCAACAAATCCTACCCTGCTGCCATTAAATCCTCCCTGCCCAAATGGGAGGGAGGATTTACTATACAGTATATAAATAAATCTAGCATTTTCTTCATCATCTTCTTCTTTCGGCTTTTCCCTCTTCAGGGGTCGCCACAGCGACTCATCCTCCTCTCTCTTACTCCACCTCAATGCGAGTTCATCAAATAAATCTAAAATTTTGGCTTTTTTTTCCTGTTATATCAAACTCAAACCAAATCATGACTAAGGACTTCAGGGTTCCTAGCAACTATGGAAATCAGGGAAAACCTGGAAATTGACTTTCATGTTTTCCAGATCAGAAAATCCAGGGAACGTGAGAAAAACATTAAAAAAAAATCAGGGACAACTAAGATAATTTGAACACTGAACTGCTGATTAGACGATAACCTTTGAGGTTTTAACGTGAACACGAATTAATGTTTAATCCTTAGCATAAACCTTAATAATTGGCTGTGGTGGCTTTTCAGTATCTGATGTTATACAATATAATGAATTATTAGGAATGATTGCAGTATGCATTTATCCTTTGCCCGCCACTCAAGATGTTATGTTCTGAGCCTTTCGTGTGACTAAATTATCTCCAGGAATTTAAGGACTTACTCAAGGAAAAATCAGGGAATTTTATTTTCATGAAACGCTGGGAACCCTGAAAGTACCATTACACCCGTACATCAGTTACTGTGTAATAACAACTAACTATATATGGTAATAATAATATGGTAACTGATAATAGTCTATAATAATAGAGTAGGAAACGATGTGCTCATATACCTGCATATAGTGAGTGTATAGGTGTAAAATGGTAATTAAGTCTTAACATTGAAATACCAACCGCTGTAGATGAAGCAGTAATGGCTTGAAACTGAACGATGACAGCCGTGTACAAAGTGCGGGTACGATATGACCAGCTCCTACTTTGCATTATTTAAACTGGAGCGGCACAGTGGACCAGTTGGTAGAGCTGTTCCCTCCCAGCGAGAAGGTTGCCGGTTCAAATCCTGGCCAGAGGCCTCTCTGGGTGGAGTTTGCATGTTCTCTCTGTGCATGTGTGGGTTTTCTCCGGGTACTCCGGTCTCCTCCCACAGACCAAAAACATTCAGGTTAAGCTGATTGGCAACTCTAAATTGTCCCTAGGTGTGAGTGAGAGAGTGAATGGTTGTTTGTCTCTGTGTCCCTGTGATGGACTGGAGACCTGTCCAGGGTGTCCCCCGCCTCTTACACAGTGACTGCTGGATGTGGGCACCAGTGACCCCTGTGACCAGAAAAGGAAGAAGCGAGTAAAGATAATGGATGGATGGATCAAACATCTTGATCTAAGAACAGCAGAACTGAGTTGTTATGAAGCTGCCAACCAACTACCATGTACTTCCTGTTGAACCTCCTTTTTTTGTCCTAATGTCTCCATTTATGTGAAATCGTCACAAAAAAAAGTGGTTTTATAGTTTCTACAAGTTTGAGTTTGCAGCATTTCTAAGTTTTCTTGCCTGCCGTGCAGAAAGGAATCCTTGTTGGTGGGGTCATGGAGTTTACAGGGTTTTGCACCGTTTACTTCGCCTGCACATCCATTTACCCTTTGATGCTCACACGAGATCGAGTCAGCGAAGACCGCATTTACCGACACAGAGCTGATGATTGTTCTGTAGCATCCAACGCTCTGGATGGTTTTAGGTCGTTGTGGCAGAACAGACCAACCCCTGCTCATTTACATCTAAATCTTGAACTGAATACACAAGAAAAATAAAAACAGATCAAATGTTCACATTGAAGCCTGCAGTGCCGCAGCTGTTCACTAGAGGAGGCTGTTGCACCACGTATGGACACCGTTCATGATCCAGACGTGACGCTCTGATTCCCCCTCAGTTGGAGAAGGAGCTCCACGTTGCAGAGAGAGCTCCACTGCAATAAAAGCATCAGGCAGAGATGGATTTCATGGCACATCGGGTGCACAACACACAACGGTGTTCGCAGCGTTACGATAAATCCTCAGAAGTGTAAATATTGTTTAAAGGATCCGATCGTTGATGAGGTCTGTCTGTGATTCAGGATGGATTTGTTCTGCTGTCAGACGAACACCTGCAGGTTTTAATTACTTCACTTCTGTGTGGAACCGACGAACGAACCAAAAATAGCTCGACACAAAAAGGATCAGCAACTTAGTTTGTTGCTCCGTGCTCTTTATTGACATTTGCTGCTTTCTGTTCTTTTAAAATGCCGATTTGATCATTTTCATCTTTAAATTTGTCTCTTAGGAATATTTCTTAACATTTTTAAGACTAAAAAACTCATTAAACTCCCTGATCAAAATGAATATTAACGGTGCATTGCATACATTTTTAAGTCCAACCTGAATAAGAAGCATCAAAAGTACTTAATCTTTTATTTCTTATCCGTGGTCGGGTCACAAAAGCAACAGATCCAGCAGAAAAACCCAAACCTCCCTCTCCCCAGAGACGCTCTCCAGCTCCTCCTGGGAGACCCAGAGGCGTTCTCAGACCAGAGGATATAAAATCCCTCCAGAGAGCTCCGAGTCTGCCCCACGGCCTCGTCTTTGTGGGACATGCCTGGAAAATCTCCAAAGGGAAGCGTTCAGGAGCCAGAACCACCTCAGCTGACTCCTTTCGGTGCAGAGGAGCAGCAGCTTCTCATCGTATCTCTAAGACTGAACATGGCCGCCCTACAGAGGAAGCTCAAGGACTCTACCTAAATTAAAAAATGACTTTAAATGTATTGTTAACTTTTCCATCCCTCAGCTAGGAGTGGGAACTTCTGGATTGATTTAGCGTGCTGCGATGGTGAAACGATGCATCCATAACTGCACTTCAAACAAAATCCAGAGCACAAAGTCCCTCCGACCTTAAAGAAACCAAATGTTTTGCTCTGCGCCGCAGTCTAAAGTTCAAGTTCAAGTCAATTTTATTGTCATTCACATCACGTGTGGTACACGGGGTGAAACGAAATTATGTACTCAGGGTCCCAGTTCCACCCAACAATAGCAAAAATACAAAGTGTAAAAAGAAACGGTATTTAAGGATCTAAGATATAAACTAAGATTTACACTAAACGAACGCCAAAAAATCTAAGAAATAGGCTAAACCCTAATAATGTAAAACAATACGGCGTATCAACAGCAGCCCGAACATGAGTCTGTGATGAGAAGATGGGTACAAATGAATACAGTAGTGTGAGATAATCAGTGGCACAGATGTCACATATCACCAATTAAAGTGGCATTGCAGTTATTTAAAAAAAATAATTTCAATAGTGATGATCCTGATTAGAGATTCATGAGTCTAACAGCTTTAGGGTAGAAGCTGTTCCTCAGTCTAGTGGTTCTACACTTAATGCTCCGCAACCTTTTGCCTGAAGGGAGCAAGGCATAACGTGTGTGTGCTGGGTGAGTGAGGTCCTTCATGATGCAGGTGGCCCTCTTCCTGCATCTAGAGGTGTAGATGTCTGTGATGGTGGGGAGACTGACTCCAACATCTTCTGTGCAGCCTTCACCACTCTCTGCAAAGCTTTTCTTTCTGCAGCTGTGCAGCCTCCATGCCACACGTTGATGCTGGAGCACAGGATGCTCTCCACTGCACACCTGCAGAAGGAGGTGAGGACTGAGCTTCCCAGACCAGCTCGTCTCAGCCGCCTGAGGAAGTAGAGTCTCTGATTTGCTTTCTTGATCAGGCTGGTGGTGTTGTTGCTCCAGCTGAGGTTGTCATTCAGGTGCACACCCAAGTACTTGTAGCTGGAGACCACCCACAAGGTGTGTTTGTTCCTTCTGAAATCCACGACCATCTCCTTCGTCTTCTTCACATTGATGTGATGGTTGTTCTTCCTGCACCAGCTCTCCAGGTGTTCCACCTCCTGCCTGTAGCTGGACTCATTGTTGTTTGTGACGCATCCAACCACCGCTGTATCATCTGCAAACTTTACAATATGGGAGCCTGAATGGGTAGGTGCACAGTCATACGTGAGCAGAGTAAACAGGAGGGGCCTCAACACACAGCCCTGAGGGGAGCCAGTGCTGAGGGTTATGGTGGAGGAGGAGAGGTTGTGGATCCTCACAGACTGCGTTCTGTTGGTTAAGAAATCCAGGACTCGGTTGCATAGGGAGGGGCTTGAGCATCGGATACACAATAATGATGGCTTCAGAATAATTATGGTTTTAAATCTCCTGACATTTACATTTTTTTTGGAAGTGGGGTCGTCCATTTCCAGTTAGCTGAACGTTTCAACCTCAAATAAATCGTCACAAAAACTCGCTCGATTCTCATTTAGGTTCAGTTGACAAATGCTTGTGTGTGAAATAAAATAAACATTAAGAACGTCCTGTTCCAACCCTTTAGCAGTGCAGGTTGTTTACCTGCAGTCGTTGGGACCTTTTGTGAACACGATGAGACGCAGCTACACATCACCCCGACCTTTTTGACCTCCGCTGTGGAGCGAAAAGGCGGAACTGGAAATACCCTCTGTCCATTCATTAACGTTGTGAGCACAGTAACTTGAAAAATAGGTGAAGTACACACTTCCATTTTGGTGTTTTGCTGAGTCTAGACGCAAGAAAGTTTCCTTTCGAAGATTGGGTTGCCATGTCAAAATCCAAGATGGCCGCCCACCACTGTATACAAAGTGTGTAAATATGTGTGTGTAAGCCAGCCACCCCTATCATTTCAGGAAACTATGCTTTATCATTAAAGTCCATGCTCAATAATCCAGGTATACAATCCAACATTTTTCAGTCAGGTCATCTGGACAGCTTTTTTTTTTTTTGTTCTGAAACGTTTCGCCTTCGATCCAGAAGGCTTCATCAGTCAAGGAAACACCCAACACAAAACTGATTCTTCCCCCAACAGCTTACTCCAAAGTGGAACAAACCAAAGTGAAAAAAGAAACTGTCCAGATGACCTGACTGAAAAATGTTGGATTGTATCCCTGGATTATTGAGCATGGACTTTGTTGTTTTCAACCAGTTTGACACGACTGTCAACAAGGAAGAGGGCCGGCAATGGAGGAGGGGGCGTGACAAAGAGACCATCTTAGCACCAACATAACTGGTTTGTTCCACTTTGGAGTAAGCTGTTGAGGGAAGAATCAGTTTTGTGTTGTGTGTTTCCTTGACTGATGAAGCCTTCTGGATTGAAGGTGAAACGTTTCAGAACAAAAAAAAAAAAAAGAAACTGTCCAGATGACCTGACTGAAAAATGTTGGTTTGCTTTATCATTTTTATATTGCTTAAAAGTATAGTTTCCTCAAATACTTGGGGTGGCCCCAAGATTAATCTGTGGTGGTCAAGGCCACCATTGGCCACCCCCTGGCTCCACCATTGTTTCGTCAAGATCCGTCATTCTGCTCCAGTGTAACTCCTCTCCACTTGAATATCTTGCAGCAAAAACATTAAGGTTTACTTGTATTTCCTGTTCAACTCCAGTCCAGAAAAACACTCCTCTCGAAAACTACAAACATTCACTCTTCGCATCCTTCAGCGACGGGGGGACACCGATGAACTCCTCGTCAGAAATTTCGCTGTGCATTAAATAGTTTTTAGGGCATCAAGCAGATCGTCGTGCTGCACCGAGAAAAAGACGATTTTAAATGTATTAACGGCACAGAACGCCTCGTTTTTTATTTTATTTTAATTAAAACAAAACTAATAAAAACCGTCTGCCTGTTGTGTGCACATTTAGGTGTAATGTTTGGTCTGTGTGTGCAGTCTGCAGGAGCTGCCTTGTGAAGTATCTGGAGGAGAACAACACGTGCCCCACGTGTAGGATTGTTATTCATCAGAGCCATCCACTGCAGTACATCGGGTGAGTGAGGGACCGCCGCAGAGCTGCACGCACACATGCACACGCGCGCACGCACACACGCGCACAGTCTGCAATCAGCAGCTCCCTGCCTCTAACACAATAAACCGTGGCGGTTTACAGAGCCGATGGCCGTTTTCCATTTTATTTCTGCTCTCCTGCAGGAAACGAGCGGCTCCGGCTGCTCCCGTGTTTTTCTGACTGACGACACGTTTAACCTGAAATTATTCGCCGCCTCACTTTAAAACATATCACTGCCACGTAGTAAAAAATACACGGAGGTACCACGGTACGACAAAGATGCAGTGCTGCGCAGAGGTGTCGAGTCGTCCCTCGTTGGGTTCCGCTTTTAAAAAGCTAATTTATTGTAATCTTTTAAAGTGGTCCTCATCGGTAGTTTGAGCTGTTTTGCGACTAATAAAAGTTTTTAATGAGTTTTACCGAGAACAAAAAGAGACGATTGGAGCGGCTGAATCTCTGAAGTAAAGATGGACAGAGGTTCTAAGTTTTTCTGCTTTTATAGCTGGTTATTTTTCTGAAGAAAGTTATTTTACTTCATTCTGACTAAATGTCTTTAGTCATAAACAGCGTTTCTAAAAAGTCAAGAAAAGTTAAGAATTTTCAAGAAGTGCCTGTGACATCATGAAACAAACGCATAAAGTGGAAGAAAACATTAATATTTAGGAAATTTGGCAGAATATACGCAAATTTACCATTTTGTCACACAACTGGGTTGTTTTCGTTTTCGCTTGTTGCCGCCAAAGTGAAACAGGAAGTGACATCAAAGAGGAAGTTCCTCGTCTTTGTTTACCGAAACAATATTATTTGAACTCTTCGTCTCTGATAGAAACTCAAAATAATCTGAAAGTCAGATTCTTTGCTGTTTTCAGCCGTTGTAGCGATACTCTGTTCTCCTTTGTCATCACTTCCTGTTACTGACAGCACTTCCTGTTACTCTGCATTTAAGCTTCTTTCTGCTTTTTAAGCTACTTTTCAGCTGTTTTTATTTTTTTTTGTCAGCTGTTTTCAGATTAAGGTTTTTTGTGGTAATTTCCTGCTACTTTCAGCTTGTTATGCTCCTTTCAACTTAATTATGCTAGTTTTATCAATTTCTGCTATTTCAGCTATTATTTAGCAGTTTTAATCTAATTTTAGTTTTATCAGTTAATTACACAATATTTTAGCTGATTTCAGCTCCTTTCGCCTCCTGTTTAAGCTTCTTTCTGCCTTTCAGCTACTTTTCAGCCTTATTATTGTTTTTTTATTTCAGCTTCTTCTTCTTCTTTTTAGCTAATTTCCTACTTTTTGTGCTAATTTTTGCTTATTTAAACCTATTTCAGCAAATGTATGTTCTTTCTGCTTTCTTCTGCTAATTTAGGCTTGTTCCATTTCAGCTGCTTTCAGCATAATTAACTTATTTCTGCTAATTTCAGCTTGCTGTGCTCCTTTCAGCTTAATTTCGCTGGTTTCTTTCATTTCTGCTATTTCAGCTGCTATTTAGCTGTTTTTTTTAAACTAATTTTAGCTTTGTCAGCTAATTACACAATATTTTAGTTAATTTCAGTTCCTTTTGCCTCCTGGTAATTTAAGCTTCTTTTTGCCTTTCAGCTACTTTTCAGCCTCATTATTTTGTAAAGAATTTCAGCCTTTTTTTTAGCTAATTTCCAAAATTTTCTGCTTATTTAAACCATTTTTAGCAAATATGTGTTCTTTCTGCTTTCTTCTGCTAATTTAGGCTTGTTGTTCAGCATGTTTTTTTTAGCTAATTTCAGCTCTTTCTCAACAATTTCTTCTGCAATAAGCATTCACACTGCATATTCGCAGGGATTTCTATTTCTCTTGTTTAAATTTAAGATACCAGCCGAACCTCACAAAGCTTGAAATAGGAGCTGCTTAAATGCAGAATATTTTTGTTTATTTGAGCGCTGAAGAAACTTCTGGCTTTAATTTAGTAAATATTAGTGTTGAAGCAAACAAGTAGGGAAAAAAAAAAGTTTTTATAGTTATTTGATACGCCCTTTCCATAATATTCAAAACGACTCATCATCATTTGAATCTTTAGTTATGAATCTTATGGATTAATTATTGATTATTGTGACACTAACTTCAGTGTTTGAGCAGGTTTTAGTTGCGGTCGTGCAAACTGAGCTGTCTGCAGACTCGTTTTTGCAGGAAATGTTTCATTTCAGACACATTAGCTCCTTGAACAGATGTTTTTTTATTTTATTTTTTGCCTCGTTTACAGGAAACGGGCGCTGTTGGCAAACATCACGTGTGATTTGAAGGCAAAATGTCCGACAGACGACGGCAGAACCCCATCTGCTCGTTTAGAAGATTGATCAAAGCCAAGTTTTCAGCTCAAGAGTCTTTTCAGGGAGAATTAGCTGCGTGTAAACTCGTTTTTTTTTTCTGCTCACACAAGATTATACAGCTGTTTGCTTTAGATGTTTTTGTTTTTAAAGCAAAGTACAGTTTTCATGATCTTTACATTAATTAATACAGTGAATCTCGCATAAAGGTGCTGTTGTGGTTTAGTCTTTTTGTTCTCATTTCCTCGGCCTTAATTGACTTGCTGACTTATCAGGTCAAAACTGCTGCTTTATTCTACATTTGAACGGAGCCTCATTTCTGACCCGTATGTTTTGGGTTTTTTTTAATTACACTTTTATCATTTCAGGATGAGAGTTGAGTTTTTTGTCTTCACAAGCTTGTTTTTTTTAGAATAAAGACTTGGCATGCCTTGAAGTCGTCTTACGATGAAAGAACAAAGCCGTACGAGATGTGACAGAGCTCAGAGTATGTGATGAGGATGATTCTCAGCGACTACCAAACCAAGTTTTAGCTCAGCAGATGTAAAAATGACCGAGTATACATTTTTGTGAATTTAATCTAGAGGCTGCGGGTAATTTTTTTTAGTCTGAATTGATTTAAATGCCACAAGTGCACTTTTGATTTAAAAAAAACAAACAAACAGTGGTTGTACCAGTACTTCAATAAAAAATAAATCCTTTAATTCTTCTATTTTAAACAGCAGTATTCGTGCCTGATGAGTAAACTTGTCACTATCTTGTCTCTTAACTATAGCTTGTCATAAATATCAAACATTTTCAGGCACGTGTCTGACAGATTAAATAAACTTGAAAGTAAAAGGATGTTATCCGCTGCAGTACCAGCTCTGCCCTGCAGGGGTCACTGTTCTGCTGCGGATTTCAGCAGCAGCTTCTTGTTCTGAGCCTCAGCAGCTCCTCAGTGTGCTGCAGCACTGACAGCAACAACAAGCTGTTAGAAAAATATTTCTCTTTCATAACCCTGCAGCAAACTCAACAAGTTGTGCTTATTAGCCGAACGTCCGGATTGTGTGTCGCCAAGCCCCGGTAGACCTGAACCGAGTCCTGGCACAGGGAAAGGCCGCTGAACACCCAGACTCAGAAGAGCATATGTTGCGCGTCGGCATCGAAAAGTGTCAACTGGATTTATTTATTTATTTTTGTTATAAAACATTTGACATTTTCCATAAATGTCATCCTGAGATTTTCAGGTTTTTATTAAAGATTTTTCAGCATGTGGGGGAATAAGACGTGGGCATTTTGGCCTTGACGTGTTGCAAAAACCAGCTGGTGGGTGGACGTGAACGCTGTGGATACAGCTGAAAAATATAGTTAATACTGTGTATATATTTCCTCCAAATAAACTCGAGCTTTTTTCTTTTTGATGTTGTTATTAACTCCAAATGAATCTAAGCGCTGCTTAAGATTCAGTCGAGTCGAATTTATTTATTAAGCACATTTTAAAACAGCAGCTGTTACCAAAGTGCTTCACAATAAGATCAAAGGCAGTAACTAAAGAAAAAAATAGTAACAAGATGTAATTAAAAGCATCAAAAAATAAACGAAAACTATGAAAATAGTAGATCACACTGTTGAATGTCGGTGGAAACAGGTGTGTTGTTAGGAGAGATTTAGAAACAGGAAGTGAAGTGGTCTGTCGAATGTTGATGGGCAGATTGTTCCAAAGCTGAAAAAGCTCGATCTCTGAGCTTCAAAGTGGTCTTTGGTTCAACCACAAGCAGCTGCTCAGATGATCTCAGCGCCCGAGAAGGTGCATGTGGTTGAAGAAGGTTGGAGAGACATGAGGGTGCAAATGCACTTAAAGGTCAACAGGAGAAGTTTAAAATCTATTCTCACGTACAGGGAGCCAGTGAAGGGAGGGCAGAACTGGTGAAATGTGCTCAAACCTACGAGTTCCTGTTAAGAGACGAGCTGGAGACGTGAAAGGGAGACCTGACCCCCGACATGTAGCGCGTTACAGTAGTCCATCTGCGTTGTAACGAAGGCATGGACTATTTTTCGAAGTCAGATCTGGTCGACACGGACTTGAGCTTAACGATCTGTTTATTAAACTTAAAGCCAGAATCTAAAACCATCCAGAGATTTATAAAAAGCTGCTTAAGATACGGCTGAAGAGAGTCGAGATTTACAGGATCAGAGGACGGCAGTAGAGCTAGAGCTAAAACACACTAGAATAAAATGACGTTTTTCTTAGTTCATATCTTAGATCTTAATACTGTTTTTCTTTTACTTTTCATTGTTGGATGTAACTGGGACCCTGCGTACACAGTTTCGTTCCACCTCATGTACCACATGTGGTTGAACGACAATAAAGAACCTTGAATCCTTGAGATGCTGATGTTTTGTTAGGTCAGTTATCCAGACACAAAGCTAACCGCTGCCTTCCTTGTTGTTTTCAGCCATGACAGAACAATGCAGGACATCGTCTACAAACTGGTACCGGGACTTCAAGAGGGTGAGAATCACCAAACATCATGGCGCTCTCCGTCTCCGGTTCACGCAGTCCGCGCTGAACTGAACTTTAAAACGGACAAACTTTACGGGCCTTTTGTCGCCACGCTGCGGTGATCTCGAGGGAAAACAAAAACGTGTTTGTTCATTTATTTTCTGCTTCGTGTGCAGCGGAGATAAAGAAGCAGAGGGAGTTCTATCAGAAGTTGGGCATGGAGGTTCCCGGGGACATAAAGGGAGAGCTGTGCAACATGAAGACTCATCTAGATCAACGAAACGGTACGAACCAACTCGTCACGCACAAAGAAATTTGACGACTCTTCTGAGCTTATCACACAATTATCGATCACTCAAACGATCAAAACACAGGAGACCTTTATCGTCCTCTCGTACTCTTGACTCCTCAGACTTTGTGCTTCGCTTTTAGGAAACAGAGAAATGTTTTAACGACGTCATTTGAGCTGCTCTGAGCTAAATTGCGAGCAGCGTTTGACGAACAAACACTGAGATTGAGGACTGAGCAGAAAAACCTTTTCCTTTTGCGTTAATGTGTCGTTCTTTTTATTGGCCCACGTGAAGTATGAACCCCCCCAACCAGTAATGAGAACCATTAGAAGCACGAGCAGAAGCCATTAAGCGGTACAGATGAAGGCAACTTAACCCACCAGAGTGAACTTCTGGCCTGTTTTTTTATTTTTATTTCATTTGTTTTTGTGCGCAGCGGCTTTTCTAAACCAGCTCGCTCCTGAGCTTCGGTGTGAACGAGCATCCAGAGGGGCCGTCACGCTGGCAGGCCTAATCGCTCGCTTAATCCCCCTCTCTGATTTTGGTAATTAAAGCTCAAACAGAGGTGGAATTGCTCTCCGGCTCCACCGCTCGTAGTCGCTTTCAGCAGAAGCCGGAACTCGCAAACCCCGTTTTCCTCGGATTCTGAAAGAAATAAAACCCAAAGAAGGCTTGGACTTTTATTTTAACTGTCAGGTGAGTAGAGTGGGACAAAACACGAATGTTAGGCCTCACCCTGAGCAGAGAGACGGCTGCGTAGCTCAGCGGTCTTGTAATCCTGAGGCTGCAGATTCGAACATCAAGAAAAGGCATCTGGTGTAAAACAATTGCCAAATCCTTCGTGCTAATTAGTATTTGTGGCAACCCTTTCGGGAGGGAGCAGCCAAAATAAAAACAACAACAACAACCCTGAGCAGCGAGAAGGACGTCTTTACACGAATGATGCCCGACGGTCAGCAGGAAAACCCAGTATGGTGACGTGAGATCCTGCAGTGGTGGAACTCTTGAGGAAATCTGTTCTCGCTGATGGGATTGTGAGGTTCTCTTTTCCACATGTACTTTCATTTTCATTTTTATTTTACCTTTATTTTACCAGAAAATAAACATGTTGAGATTATTACCATAATCTCTCATTTTTTACAAGGATGTCCTGGGCGATGCGCAAGGTGCAAACAAGACGTTACAAACACAGCAGCAGTCTTAGAATCAAGGGCGTCAGAAGCATCTGTAATGGGGGGGGGGCACACATGCACTGTGCAAAAAAGTGTACAGTAGTGTACAAAATAAAAGCAGCATTTCACCTAGATTTCCTTTAATCCCACACATTTAAAGCATGTTTCTCACCAAGTTTGTGTAAATTCAGCCGTGGGTTTAAAGACATTTTAACTTTAATACACTTTAACACAGAGCGTCAGGTCGACACTATTTGTGTTTATAGAGAAATTAAAAAAACATCACCACTAGACTTTTTTAATTGTGTTCAACACTGCTCATCTAAAGGATGTTTCGCACGAAGCTCGAGGACAATGGGGTTTTAAAGAAATTTAAACTTTAATGCACCCGAACACACAGCGTCTCACACACTTAGCTTAATGCTAAGCTAAGATGCTACAGACGTAGCGCTCCACTTCCCTCAAGCATCCCAACATGCATATGTGTTTAAGATCCTAATCCGAGGTGTCTCCACCTGCAGGCTGCTGCAGAGACGTAGGTAACCAGGAAAACCTGGAGTGGACTTTTAATGGTTTGAGTATTCTCCTGTTAATCAAGTGGAATGGATTCTTTCACGAAGAAAGAGAAACGGAGCTGACTGAACTAATGTTTCATGGTAAATGTGGGGGGGTCCAAATGAATGTTGTTGTTTTTTAATGTGGGGGGGGGGGGGGACACGTCCCCTTCACATATAATGGTTGCCACACCTATGCTTAGAATACTCAACTTTATACTCGAAGAGAAACTGCAGAGAGAACTCCTGGTGAGTGGATGTTCATTTTCATTTGATGCTGGAGGAGCTGCAGGACAAGGATCAGGTATTTCAGCTGCGCTAATTTGCAAATTTGTCACAAAGAAGCCGCCACCATTTCTGAAAGACGGTGCGGGAATGTATCCCTACGCCAGGGGTGTCAAACCCACTTACAGAAGGGGGCCAGAATAAAAATCTTTCTCAAACTAAGGGCCAGTTTCAGAATCTACATTAACTCAAGTCAGATATTCAACATCTTTTCATGGTGGCAGGTTCCTCAACAAGAGCTTGATTGGCCTCATTTGATGTTCTCTGTTGTACTTTCGACATCATAATCAAAGATTACTGAAAAAAATTAAAGTGATAAAAGTATTTTACATTTAAAATAACCTCTTGGGGGGCCCGATAAGACGTCAACGAGGGCCACATTTGGCCCCCGGGCCTTGAGTTTGACACACATGCCCTACGCTGCCCAGTCGATCTTTATACATTTTATTTGACTTTCTTTAAAAGTTTCACGGGAACTATTATAAAGATGGTTGTATTTTCTAACGTGTAGTTTACCCACTGCTCTGCATAAACGCACCCACGAAGTTCTAACCAGTCAGACAATGATTGGCGCACACCCCTGCAAGATAAAAGTGCTGCCAGGAGCTCGTGCACAGAACTGGCTCTCACAGCACCTGTACAAACAAAATTACTTCTCGTTTGTCAAACGACTGCGTCAATAAGAAGTTATCTTGGCGTCTCGAGTATAAATCAGCCTTTTGTTTTCACTCTTTTGGGCTGATTGTGAACTTTTGAGTTTATGCTGATGGTGTCCAGTCCTGTTATATTTTTATTTTATTTAACCTGTATTTATACAGGTAGTCTCATTGCATGACGAGGACTCATTTTCAAGAGAGCAGCTATGTAGGCGCCTGGAGAGCAGTTGGGGATTGGGTGTCTTGCTCAAGGACACCACGACATGTGGGCGTGGTAGGGAGTTGAGCCTGTGACTTTCCCGTTCCAGTTCGGCTGTACTACCTCTCCACCACAGCGGTCATATATATGCCACCATATTGCATATTTTGGTTGTTTTTCTGCTCCCAACACCAGATTTAGTAATTTAAATCAAGTTATTTGAATATTTACAATTTCACTGTTTACCGTCTCCCAACAATAAAGACATTAAAAAAAAAACTATTTTTTCTAATGCTATGGTGCGGATTCCCATTAACCCTGCTCTCAAGAGTTTAAACTTTTAAAACCAATACTCCGTTTACTTTTATATGCAAACGCGGAGTTTTCAAGCACTGCTCGACTCGAGCAAAGCAGAAACGGCTTCCTCCGTCACATTGACTCATTTCTCTAAATTACCAGCTTTTCTGAGCACTTAACCCAGGAAGACTGAGGGACGCGGGGCCACGATGAGTCTGCAGAGTACGCTTTCTCTTTCACGACGATATAAACTCCCACGCTAACACACACGAATGGTTTCCCCCATCTCATTCCCATTGTACAGTAGCCTGGAAATGTCATTGTGCATGCCTTTGGGATTTTACTGTTTGCAAGACGCCCCATAAATCCCCAAACCAGACAAGAGGATCATTTCCTAACTGTGCCTGGGGAAACAAAAAGACACTTTGTTGCTGAGATGCGAGAGTTGTTGGAAGGTGAGGCGTAATAAGAGCATGCCCCTCGTGATAAGTAATAAGCAAGGCTAACTCTGAAGACAATCGCCACACAGACAAGAATTAGCTTAGTAATACACCCAGGGATTGGTGAGAGCTGGCCCAGATGGAAAACGGTCACAGAGAGCTGAACGCACTCTCAGCTGCAGCCTGAGCAAGAAAAGCACACGCGCAGTTATTGCCTCCACCAAATTTAGGACGAACGCAGCAAATTTATTTTATTTCCGAAGGTCGCAGGAAAGCAATACCCATCTGTGCTGCAGTTCTGTCACAACAACACAATCCAGGCCCGATAAGCCAGTTTCCTGTCTAAAAATCCAACACCGCCACAAGATCACAGCCGACAAGGAAATTCATAACCAAGTGTTTACGCTAACCACGTCTGTCCCACACGGGTTTGCTGCTGCTGGTTTACAGCAGATTTATCAGCTGATCAGGCATCGTTCATGTGCACAGAGCGGGAAGACGGTTCGACAACGAAAACCCAGATTTGACCGAACGTGTTTTGGTTTTGCTGCCGAGATGAAAAATGTATTAAAACCTGGATTTGGTCCAGCGTGCAAATAGGCAGAATGCAAACTGTCAGCCACACGGTGATGAATTTATTCATAAAGTAATTGTCAGACTCTAATCCACACAGATTTTGTAACGTCTTCGTGACTGGACGTGGATCCCCTTTAGATTTTTGTTTGCGTCTGATAATCAAAACTAAAAGAGGTCAGATTAAGAGCTAGTCAAGATGGATAAAATAGTTATAAAATCAAAATTATTTTCATTTTGATTAAACATCGATCTGCAATTTTTAGGCTTGAAAACGAATTGATGGAGAGAAAAAAACCGCACATCACATCTGAATCTGCTAAAGTTGCTGCACTGTAATCTTTAGATTTGCATACATTGACTTTAAAAAATGCTGGCAGATTCCCTTCTTCAGGGATTAATGCGTACACTTTTAGCACAAATAAAAGTAAAGCCGTTTGTCAAAAGATTGTTTCGTGTTAGCACAGGCAATAGGACTCAAAGTAACATTTAAAATACCTGAAATATTTTGATTTTCTTTACCTTTTTGTTTCTCACATATCACTATAAATGAAGTAAAAAGTTATTTTGGTTCTTTAATGCAGAAAAAAATCAATTTTATGTGGTGAGACCATGAAATCTTGGACTGAGCAGTACTTACAGGGTATGTCCCAGGTATGTATCCTGTAAGTACAGAGTAATACAGCCTGGTGCCAGTAGGTACCAGGTACATCCCCGATAAGTACCCTGTACTGGGCTGTTTCGTGTATTGCTACCCATATCGGGCACTTGTTTAAGACTATTTACCTCAATAAAGTGTTTGAAAAGTGCATTGAAAGGTCTAAAACCTCCATTACCAACACTGTCGCAGATTCACCTGTCGTGGTACTGAACGTTACCTGTAATGGTTTTATTTAGGTGCGTGCCAGAACACGGTGCACAAATCAGTTTAATCTTCGTCAGTCTTGGCACAGATCTGTCGGTCTCCTTTAAGAGACAAAGAAAGCAAAGGTGAGAGGAGCTCAGGAAGAGGATTAGAGGTATCCTTGTTAAAGGTAAAGGATACAAGACCATCTAGGTGGAGATTCGTGGGAGGACGTGGGAGCCAACCTCTCAGGATGGGGACGCTAGAGGAAATGCGATCCCGGTTGGGCAGTAAAAAAAAAAAAAAAAAACCAAATGTATCAAGCAAACTACCCAGAACTCCTCAAACTGAACTCCAAAGTCAAGATTTCACTTCACTTTTTGATCACGCCGTCCATTGCTCCACCATAAACAGAAAAACGTCAGACAGGAACTCTCCAAACTGCACGCTGACGAGCCCCAAAGTTTTTGGAACTGATGAGACAAAACTGGTGCTTTTTCCAGTTTTTATTTATTTATTATTGTCTTGGCACAATATGAACAAATCTATCCGCATCTGTATGTTTAGAAAGACGGCATAGATGAATGTTGTTTCTTGGATGGATGGTGGGCAGGCAAGTAGTGTCCAATAAAGAATGGCACCACATAGAAGATAAGTACAGGGCTCTTAATTATACAGTAATATATGAATCTAAAATCAGAAAATGCAAGCAAATCAGCAATGTACGTCAGAATTAAAACTTTTGTAAAGGCAAACAAAACAACTCTTCACTAGAAATAAATACTAGAAAAATGTGGCGAAGGGGATTGCTGTTGTTCATACAAGCAAAAGTTAGTATGAATTTCAGCTGATTAAGATTTCTGTTGCTGGAGCAGAGGGTCTTTTTCTTTGAAACATCATAAAACAAATGGAGGATATTAAAAAAGAGCCAGCTTCATAAACACATTCCTTACAGTAGTGCAGACTGAGCGGGTTCTTACTCTAACTTTATGCTCACCAGAGACGGCTTCTCTGTTAAACCCTAAAACCTGTTTACATTTCCCTAAAACCTCATGTTTTCTAATCAAAATCATAAGCAGCAGAACCGTTTTCCATGTTCCCATCTGTACCAGAGACGTGCTCTGACAGCAGGTACGTCAAATAAAGGATACCTCGACGCCCTCAGACATTATAAAACCTTATAAATGCACCTCTGCTGGAGGTGATTTTCTGCTTCAGCAGGCACAGACTGTTAAAGCTGAAGAACATGCCTTTTCACCAAAAAGTCTTATTACAGTGAAACCATCATGAACGTCAGCTTAAACCTCTCGACTTGAGTGAACAGTGGGAAAAAAAACCTGACCACGGTGAAAACAAAACGCACGGCGGTGTTGTTTCCATGAAGTACACACTCGTTTGCGATTGACCCTCTTATGAAAGTATAGATCTTAACTTTTGGACCTTTTGTTCTCCCAACAGGTGATGCAAAATCTGAAGACACGACCAACAAAGAGGCAGGAGAGGAGAAACCGGAGGAGGATAACGACTATCATCGTAGCGACGAACAGGTACGATCTGCTTCTGGAGATTATTTAACTATTTTCAAGTTTGAAGACGATCAACAGAAGATATCACTTCTTATTTTAAACTTTCTGAAGGACTGGTTCTTTAAAAAAAAAACTGCTGATGTGTGGAATATTCAGACTGGAGGAAAAGAGGTGTATTGAAGTGTTTGAAGGGCCAACCTTGTCTAGAACTTGGTCCCGTGCTTCAGTTTTACTCAGCCACACCGAGTCAGATCGATGTTCCAGTTCTTTTTGGGATGTCGAGCGAAGGCACAGTGGTTGGTGTATATTCAGTCTGGGTGCAAAGGTTTACCCAATTATTTGTTGTAACAAAGCTAATGATTCTATACTAGGTGTCTACTAATGATTAATGACTAATAGTCATATCGAATTGTCCCTCGTTGTGGAGCAAAAAGAGGGAATTGGAAATGCCCTCTGTTCATTTGTGCATGTTAAGAGTGCCATACCTTAAAAAATAAGTGAGGTACAAGCTTGTGTGGCTACGTCTAGGTGTAAGAAGATTCCTTTCAAAAACTGGGTTGCCACGTGAAAATCCAAGATGTCCAATGAATTTTATATTTGACCGTGTTCCTCAAGGTGCACTGTGGGGGTTGCTCCATGACTATGGAACTGGGGGGCCGTTACTACGGGCTGTTTGTTCCCTAAATGATAATAATGTCATCACAATGTCAGCACTGTATGTTTCCATACAATGGCGAAATTAGTCTCTGCATTTAACCCATCCACCACCAGGTGGTGCAGTGGGCAGCTATTGAAAGCGCCCGGGAGGCATTTTGGGGATGAGGCGTGCTGCCCAAAGACACCACGTGATGTGCAGTGACTGGGGATCGAACCTGGGACTTTCGGTTCCCAAGCCGGCTGCCCTGCCTCTACACCATCTCGGCCCCCATAAACAAAATAAACAAGCGGTGCAAGAGTTTGGTTTGCATTGCCAGCAGTAAGTTGGACCCTTTCAGGGTGGGAGTTGGACTCCTCCAAGGCTGCTTGTTGTCACTGATTCTGTTCATAACTTTTATGGACAGAATTTCTCGGTGCAGCCAGAGGGCGCAGGGTTTCCGGTTCAGTGGCCTCAGGATTCCATCTCTGCTCTTTGTAGATGATGTGGTCCTGTTGGCGTCATCGTGCCGTGATCTTCAGCTCTCACTGGAGCGGTTTGTAGCCGAGTGTGAAGCAGCTGGGATGAGAATCAGCACCTCCAAATTTGAGGCCATGGTCCTCAGTTGAAAAAGGGTGGATTGTTCTCTCCAGGTCGAGAGTGAGGTTCTGCCTCAAGTGGAGGATTTCAAGTATCTCTGTGTTTTGTTTATGAGTGAGGGACCAATGGAGCATGAGATTGATCGATTGGTGCAGCATCTTAAGTGTTGTTGATTCTGTGCCGGTCCATTGTGGTGAACAACAAGTTGAGCTGTAAGACATAGCTCTGTTTACCGGTTGGACTACGTTCCTACCCTCACCTATGATTACGAACTCTGGACAGTGACTGAAAGAATGAGATCGTGGAAACATGCGATTGAAATGAGTTTCCTCTGCAGGGTAGCTGGACTCTCCCTTAGAGATAGGGTGAGAAGTTCAGTTATCAGGAGAGACTCGGAGTAGAACCGTTGCTCCTCCACATCACGAGGAACGAGTTGAGGTGATTCAGGCATCTGGTAAGGATGCTCCCTGGGCGCCTCTCTAGGGAGGTGCTTTGGGCATGTCCAACTGGAAGGAGGCCCCTGGGAAGACCCAGGACACATTGGAGAGATTATATCTCTATACTGGCCTGGGAATGTGTTGTAATGGTTTGTTGGCTGTAACTGGGACCCTGTGTACACAATTTCGTTCCACCACATGTACCACATGCAATGCGAATGACTATAAAGAGACCTTGACCTTGAATGCCTTGGTTTCCTTGAAGTGCCTTCGCTACCTTGCGAATAAAATCATTTTGACCATCTCTGTCTGCAGCCTTGTTCTTTTTGTGGCTACCTAGAGTTTGTGGCCATAGATTAAGGTTGGATATTTTATGTTTTTATGGAAGTGATTTGTCCTCCTCTTGTGGTTTAGAATACAGCTTCCAGTGGTTTTTAAGTCAAGTCAAGTTTATTGTCATTCAACATGTTAAAAGCATGAGAACAAAATTTGATCCCCCAGGTACTAATGCTAAATAATAAATAACATAAAACCCTTCAATAAATAAGCTACATTCAAAAATCTGAAATCATCTTATTAAATTTAGTCCCATTGAATAGTTATTAACTACATGTGTATTGTTATCAAAATACTTTTAATCAAATGTTTTGGCTCTTTTATGCAAAGAATAGAAGCAGAAGCAAATAGAAGAAACAACTTGTTTTCAAATAGAAATGCACGATATTATCGGTATCGGCCGATATTAGCGATAAACTTAAATATCGGACATTGGCCATTTCATCAAAATAACTCACCAATATAATAGGTGCTGTTATATATATATATATATATATATATATATATAGAGCGCTGTTTTTGTATGACAACCCAGTGACAAGGATGTTTGCATTGCAAGCACAACTTTATGATGTCACACGCACTGGCGAGTTTAAATTTGTGAAAACTTACAAATTTGCACTGTTCGTGTGTTGTCATTGTGTTAGAGAGTAAATGTCATGAATAAATTTAACATTAAACATAACCCACGTCGAAGTGTTACATCATTTTCAGTCCCATTTTTGGCATCTGCATTTGGTAGCAGGCCAAATTGACAAAGACAATGCAGAATAATGTATTTTAATTCCATAGCAGAGAAAGCTGTGTAGTCTCTGAAAGTAGGTCTAGAAAAATAAATATCTGTATCGGTTGTCGACCATATACATTTTAACATATCGGATATCGGCCAAAAATCCAATATTGTGCATCCATATTTTTTAGTATTTCTGCCAAAAAGAAAAGCACAAAAGAACCAAACGACTGTTTGTGATAATTGTTGCTTTAGCAGGTTGAACATCAATTACTGGTTTTACTAAAGTGCCCTCGTATGTAATTTTTACAATCACTGGCTTTTATCGTCTTTTGTTTGTTTGTTTTATGTGTGAAGACATCACCATCACATCCTCCAAACCCATTTAAACAAGAAACTGGTTTGTTCTCCTGATTCCATTTGTTTTCTGGCTCATTCTTCAGCCCATTTGAGTCATGTTTCTTTTGGCCAGCGTGGATTTATTGTTGTTGTTGGACAAACATAATCAGAAGCATTAAGGGCTTCTGATGCACAACTTTGAGTTCATTTTATTCCAGTAGAAGGCTTATAAAGCAAAACGACGCAGTCCCATGCCCCCACCCTGGCATGTGGGGAGGGGAGCCTGCCCCGATGTGGGTGAAGATCCTGGCCTTTTTGTAAATTCAGCAGCGATGCAGAATGCACGCAGAATAACTAATCCTGCAGCCTGATTGCTGCCATGTGAAATGTCAGGGAGAGAGGTGGAGGGGGGAGAACAGAGGGAATACAAAATGACACGCAGAGGAGGGAGAAAGTGCAGGATTAAGAGAGCAAAATGGCTGCAGATGGAAACGGGGCGATGAGGTGATCATAAAGCTACAGAGTGTGAGGTGATGGAGAAGGTGAAGCTCACAGAACAGGCAGTAAAAAATGGCTGAGGTGGGAGGATGGTGAAGGAGAAGAGGGTGATGGAATAAGATGGGTTTGTGTACAGTCTTTCAGAGCTTTTAGGTGGGAAAGTGGAGCAGTAGCCACCATTAACAGCAGTTTGGAGCGGAATGTGTTTTACTTTACAGCATTAGAGAAGAGTCAATGAACACTCGACGAGCTCACGTTGTAACAACCGCTTCATTTGTGCAGAACTCCACATCCAGGAGGACTGGCTAGGTCTGACGCATTTTGGACGAAGACAAATCATTTTAGAGGAGCCAACGGTTGGCACTTTTACAAACAGTTCTGCAAAATGGCTGCAAAGACCATCCATCCATCCATCCATTTACCTGCTTCTTCCTTTTTGGGTCACAGGGGTCACTGGTGCCCATGTCCAGCCATCACTGTGCGAGAGGCGAGAGGACACCTGGACAGGTCTCCAGTCCATCACAGGGACACATAGAGACAAACGAGACAAACAACCATTCACTCTCTCTCTCTCACCTAGGAACAATTAGAGTTACCAATCAGCCTAACATGCATGTTTTTGGTCTGTGGGAGGAAACCGGAGTACCCGGAGAAAACCCACGTGTGCACGGAGAGAACATGCAACCTCCACCCAGAAACGTCCCTGTCCGGGATTTGAACTGGGGCGACCTGCTCACCAGCGTGCCTTTAATCAGCCTCTGATTGTTCAGAAATTAGTGATGTCATCATCGATCTTCTCCTCACTCACAGTTTATTGTTAAATCCTGCAGTCCAGCGATCTCCCAGACATGTCATCGCTACATCACATCCTTGAGCCACAAAGTCAACTCTCCTTTTCACCAAAGTTCATACTCAGTAATCCAGGTATAAAATCCAACAATTTTCGGTCAGATCATCTGGACGGTTTTATTTTTTTTGTGCCGAGACGTTTTGCCTTCCATCCAGAAGGCTTCATCAGTCAAGGAAACACAAAACAAAACAGTTTACTCCAAAGTGGAAAAAAATACTGTGACTGTATGTTGGTGTTAAGATGGCCTCAGTTTTGTTTGGTGTTTCCTGACTGATGAAGCCTTCTGGATGGAGGGCCAAACATATCAGCACAAAAAAAAAAAAAAAACCATCCAGATGACCTGACGGAAAATTGTTGGATTTTATACCTGGATTAGTGAGCATGGACTTAGTTGTTTTGAACCAGTTTGACATGACTGTCAATGAGGGAGAGGGCATGCCCCAGAGACCATGTTAGCACCAACATAAAAAATGTTTCCCCACTTTGGAGTAAGCTGCTGGGGGATAACCAGTTTTGTTTGGCGTTTCCTCAGACTGATGAAGCTTCTGGATGGAGGGCAAAACGTCTCAGCACAAAAAAAAAAAAAAAGAAACCGTGCAGATGACCTGACTGAAAATTGTTGAACTTTCGTTTTCCTTCGTCGACCGTTTTGGCTCTGTTACTACCTCGCTTGGTGCCACAAAGGTGCAACAGATTCATTCTATATTTACCCCCATGCTGCCTCCTTCCATTAGGCGTCTCAGTCTGGATTACGTTTTTTGAGAAACGGCATTAACAGAGTTGTAGATCTCTTGTTTTACCTTTCCAGAATCTAGAAAGCAGCTTTGAGTATAATTGTGTTTCTCAACATTTTGCACGTTCATGCGCTCGATCAAAGCATGATGGACCAGGCTAACAAAGACCCTGAGGGTCCTTAGGAGGGAAGGAAAGTAATATGAACGAGTAGAAATACAACAACTGAGGTGCTGTCCACACAGGAAGGCATTAAAAAAAAAAAAAAACAGCATTGTTTTTTTTATAATTTCAGCTTTGTGTCCACATGAAAACAGTGTGTTTTAGGAGCCTCAGACTAGAGTGAAAAAAACCTAGAAAAGTTGCCCTTGCGTTTTTGTGTGGACAACCAAAACGCAACTTTCAGGAAAATATGTTTTCATGGATTTGCCTCTCAGGTTGTGTTTACATGCGTCTCCCAGCATGTGAGATCTCTGCTGTACACCTACGGTTCTCGGAGCAGCTTCAAAAGGCAACGCTGCAGCTCAGCACTGCAACGGCAGCGTTTGGGGTTGTTTTCTGTGTTTTCGTGTGGATGAAGTCATTTCTATAAACGATGACCCGTTTACGGGGATGCTTTTAGAAATGGAAGCAAACGTATTTTTGATAACAGTTTCTGTGTGGACAAGGCCTTACTACTGTTTAAAATACTTGAAATGTTCATTTTTTTTACGTTTAAACTTGGAAAAAAGTGCAGTACCTTTGTCTAACCCTCCTGCTGCCCTTTGAAACCGAGGCCTCGTGAGTATTTTGACCCAAGGGCGGCAGGCGGATTACCATATCCTGGAGGACTGAGAACCTTCACCATTTTTCATTTATCAACATTTTGACTGAAAGCATGAAGACAAAGTGCAGTGTCAGTCAAGTAGAACAAAGATGAAGAAACTGAGCTTGGTATCGTAGAAATCCTCCCCACCCCGTCTATCAGATGCAAGAATCGACAGGCGAGACGCCACGCATGGCCAGCTTCCCAAACACCTTTCAGACTGTAACCTTGCTGCACGAGGCTGTGCCAGAGAGAGCTCCTGAATCTACAAACACAAACCTCAGTCGGTCAGAACCATTACGCTTTTTAAAGCTATTAGTTGAAGATAAGGACGTCGGCTATGAGCCTGATGCTTTCCACATGGCACAAAAGCCTCACGCAATATTTTCTTTGTATGCCTCGCTCTTGCATCAGTGCGTGTGCACATTTAGCTGCAGCAGCCCTCCGTGGCTCCACAGAAACGTCGGTAATGTACTATAATGTAATGAAACTGCCTCACAGGCTGCCATCGAGCCGCCGCGGAGTCCAGATCACCGGCCAGGCTTTTATTTTACATTATGAGCCCCCCCCACACACACACACACACACTGGCAGCACCACTGGAAAGCAGATATATTGCGATGTTGGTCTTTGCTTATTGAAGGGCAGACTGTGCACTGAAGCGCTGCCAGTGTTGATTTGAGCACAGAGAGGAAGTTTAAACAGAAACCAGGCTAATGTTGTCTCCTCCCGTCTCCGAGGAGAGGAAGGAAAGAAGGCAGGACACCCACACGTGAGGAAATACACGGCTCCTCGCCTGTTTTTCTCTCTCTCCATATGCGAGGGGCAGAGACCCGGTCGCGGTAATGCATTCTGACTCCTGCAACCATCGACTGCCAAAACCACCTACCGTGTCACCTCAAGGGGAAAACAAGTGCACAGGCCCTGAAACAAGCCAATAAGCAACAAATAAACTGGGCCGGTTGTGAGATGTGAAAGTAGACAAGAAACTATACGGTAAAGACCAAACCCCATTTCATCGTTTTAAGTGACCCAGAGGTCTTTAATTAGAAGTTATGAGTGGCTGAGTTCAAGTGTTTCTCCTTTAAAGAATCGTATATATCCGTCATTGTAGGATCTTACAGTTTTAGATGTTGCGTAACATTCACGTTGCCTCAGATGTTTGTACGCAACGTGTCTTAAAAGGTTTAAGAAAAATTAATAATTCATCACAATAACATTCATTTTATTTAAATAGCGCCGTCACAACAGAAGTGTCTTCAAACATCAAACTAAACATAACTGTTGCTGTGGATGAAAACGTATTTCATGAAAAACGTACCACCTTTGCAAATAAAGTACTCGTTTGAGTATTTAGAGGTGTTACCTCGAGAGATAGCAACAGCAGCAAGGCAGGTTCTGCACCGTCTGTTTGAAACTGTGGTGGTCTCTTAAAGGTAAATTTGCACATTAGCATTTCGAACGTCTCACAACGGCGAACGGACGCCTTGCGTCTGGTGAAGCATGCAGCAGCTTTAAGTAGACGGGCACCGTTTATCGACGATAAAAGGATTTTCCAAACCCGATGTGATCATTTTGTTTGTGTCGCCCAACAGGTCAGTATCTGCCTGGAGTGCAACAGCAGCAAACTTCGCGGCCTGAAGCGTAAATGGATTCGCTGTTCGGCGCAAGCCACCGTCCTCCACCTAAAGAAGTTCATCGCCAAAAAGCTCAACCTGACGTCGTTCAACGAGGTACAGATGTATGACAGAAGCCTGCAGAAGACTTTTAAAAATTATTTAACCTTTATTTATTATACAGGAAGTCTCTTTGAGTCATGAGGACTCATTTTCAAGAAAGATCTGTTTTAGACAGACAAAATCATATAGAATAATAAAAGCAATTAAAACAACACAATGTAGTTAAACAATAAAATCCGAGTGCCAAGGTAAAATACTCAAATCGAGAACAAATCTTCATAGATTAAAGAAATCAAAGTGGACAACTTTAGTTCTTGTTGCAAGGTGTTCCAGGTTACAGGAACAAAGAGAAGGTCTTTTTGCCAAGTTCAGTCTGCACTAAGGGAACGCTGCAGGTCATGATGGCCTGAGAGCGCACGCTGTAACCGCACTGATGTGACATGTGGGAGGAAGTGCATGTAAAGGGAATGATTCATAGATGATGTTCAGGTGCCAGATTATATGTGCAGATAACCAGCTGACCATTGAGTACAGGGTGCAGTGACGGGTACTGTAGCTACAACCTGCTATGGTAGACAGCATCCAACATCCGAAGGAGCTGGAAGGGGCATTCGTGTAAACAATGGCTGGTAGTAAAGTGGCAGCTACAAGCTGTTATCTGGTATTCAAATGTAATTTAGATCAGATTCTGAAAAATAACTCTTAGTTTCAGTTTCTTTAACAGGTTTGGGGCTTAAAAGATAAATTTGCATCAAATAAAATTCCCAAGTATGTGTAAAAGTCCACAAACTCGATAGGAACAGCATGCATGGATGAGATGCTGGCACCAACTTTCTGTTTGAAAACAGCCTCCTTGGTTTTATCAGCATTTAGCAGCTATTTGACGTGGAACAAATCTGACTGAATGATGTTAAATTTGGACGGGAGAAGCTGGAGAACGTTGGCAAATGTGTTGGCACAACAATACACAATTGTATCGTCAGCATAGTGATGCAAAAAAGTGTTAGGAATGATCTGACCCACATCATTTACACAAATTGTGAAAAGAGTTGGTCCTAAATCTGAGCCTTGTGGGACGCCGTTGGTGACAACTAAATAATTAGATGAAAAAACAATGTGTTGTAGACATTACCTTCAATCAGAGAGGTAGAAAAAAATAAATCAGACTTGCATGGAGTTTTGGTGAAAAACCAAGATTGTGAAGAGAAAATAAACGTTTTAGAAAAGATTAATACCAGTAAGATCGCTCCTACTAAATCAGAAGAACAAGAATATATTTTAAATGTTTTCACTCTGAAAAGGTGTTAGCTAGCAGAAACAAATCTTTCTGCTAGTTTCAGGTTGTTGGAGCGCCGACCGGTCGCGTCGGCTTGTAAGTTTTTGTCAATCCACAAAATGACATAAAACTGTTCATTTTCCCTTTCTGCAGTGACTCACGTGTTCCCCTTGTGTTTTATTATCTCTAACATGAAACCCAGCCTGGATGATATCTAATTTTTCTATTTATTGCCTTCACAGCCCCGTTCAGAGCAGCAGGGGAGGGTAGAGTGGGCGATAACATGACAGATGAATTTTTAGAAGAATTAACATCACAATTGCCTCCACGTTGTCTACTGTCTCCGTTTCTTTTTATTTATATTTTTGGGCTGTTGATCAGATGAGTGGGTCGGCTCCATCATATCGTCGGCCTCCGTAGCACAACTCTGACGAGGCGGGCGCTCTTCTCCCGACAGCTATTGTTGTTTCACTGAAAAGAAACGATTCTGCTTTCAGCATCGAGCCAAACGCGGCGTTTTACAGCTCGTCACTTATTCAGCACTCATGTTTAAAAAAAAAACAAAAAACTAAAACACAGTCGGGACACCCATCTGAGAGTCTCAACAGAAAGTTTGTTTAAACATTCAAACGTCCAAATTGGTAAATTAACTTTTGAGTGCAGAAAAAAAAACTCAAAACTGTTCCTAAAATGACAAACTCAGAGGTTTTGATATATTTAATTTCTAAAATAAATCTATTTGGAACACAAAACAGTGGATAAATATCTTAAAAGGTCTTCTGAAGAAAGACAGTTAATAAAAATAACATCCAACCAGTTTAAGAGCACATTTGTTTCTGTTTGAAACATAAAAATGTGAATAAATTATTTGCACCTTTTTGTTCAAAGGTCGGTGAAATAGCTTGAAACTGACTGATATAAAAAAAAATACTCAAAACAAACTAATAAAAATCACTGATTTTTAATTATGATCCAACAGAATTATTTTTAAGTGATAAAATGGATGAAAAGACTGAAAATACTTTGCAGGACACACCTTAGTTTATGTCCCTGTGATCAGTCAGCACCACAGGTGTCTTCAGTCAGTCAGTCTGTTTAAAGGGTGGCAGGTAGTCACAGGGCTGTTTGGCATCCAGGTGTGTAACACACTGACCGTGGAGCGCAGGAAGCTGAGGACAGAGTTGTCTCAGGACATTATGTTAACGATGAAGACTATAAGATCTTGATGTTCCTCTGAACACAGCTGCACTGATCATTCAAGAGTTTCAGGTCCACAGGACTGAAGACAGCCTCCCTGGACGTGTCCACAAGAGGACAACTGATAAACTGAAGAGACAGACAATATGAACCCAAGAGCTCAGAAGAACCAAGAGATTAGAGGTGGACTAAAAGGTCAACAGTGTCAGTACATCAGTCTGATTGAGATGAAGATGACCGAAAGAAAGACGACCAAAGAGGACACAGAACCATAAAAACGTGAGACTGGAGTTTGTCAAAATGCATATTGAGAAGCCGAAGCTTCTGGGAGAATGTCTTTTGGACAGATGAGACAAAACTGGAGGTTTTTGACAACAAGTCCCTTCAGCTTCACGTTCACAGTTTCTGTTCTGGAGCTGCTTCGGTCTCACGGTGTCTTCAATCCGTGCAGGAGATGATAAAATCTCAAGACTATCAAGGCATGGAGCAAAACATGCTGCACAGTGTCAGACAGCCTGGTCTCAGTTTTATGTCCTCCAACAGGATAATGACCTAAAACACAACAAAAACATCCAGGAATGGATCAGAACCAAGCATTGGACTGTTCTGAAGTGGCCTTCATAGTCATAGTCCTGATCCAAATCCTGTTGAAGAAGCTGAAACACTTGGAGGAGGAACCTTTCAAACCTGAGACCTAACACCTTTGGACAGGCGGACCAGAACACCCATGGACAGGCGGACCAGAACATCCGTGGAAAGGCGGACCAGAACACC